CTCCACAAGACCTCCAAACCGCGAAAAAGGATGCTTTGGGGGTCTTCCTTATTTCAACGTCTCAACAAGAACCTGCGCCAGGACCCGGTGAACGATCCCTATGCCGCTGCTAGTCAAGCAGCCGCGGCTGTCTCTGCTGCTGCCACAGCGCAGAACCAAGGAGCAAGAAACGGTTTAGGGAATGTGTGTACTCGCATTCGGCAGAATTGTTTGCAACCACCTTTGATTTGTTTTTGACAATGGGGATTGATAGTGGGATTGATTTGAGTTTCTGACACAGCTTGGAGGCTGGCTTGAGAGATGCCTATTCTTTTTTCAGGGATGGCAGCGCTCTAGAGTTCACTACAACTCCAATTGTCGGTGTGGGGGGAGAAGCACAACACCAATTTGCCAAGAGTTCTTCATGGGAACTCCAATAGTTCACCAACAGCTCACAGGTCACCAGGTTCTAGCTGATAGTTCCATATAGTACCACTATAGCCAGGGTACCATGTTGTTCACCAGAGCTTCAGTAGAACATTGCTGAAACCGTTTGAAGGAGAGAAACTGATGACCCGGTTCAGCCAATTCTTTCCAGCTTTTGGATGTCAGGGTGTCAGGGTGTCAGTTGAGCCATGAAGAATCCATCTATATACATGTGGTTTGACCTTGATGAATTGCAATATTACATGGTCTCTTTTTGTATTGGATTCATACCAATAGCGATCACTGTAGCTGACACTGGAAACCGCAGCTTCGTTCATGTTTGATCGTAGTTGTGGAAAACCATTAGGCACCCAGAAGAATCAGAAGGTGAAGGCGTGCAACATAGGGATGATGTCCGAGCTTGAAAGGTACAGCCCTGTGTAGGAACCGCCGACCCTAGGCATTGGCATGAACAACGTGCAGTATCTGTGATTGTGTTGTGTTTGTTGGTTGAACCCCTCCCCGGTAATGGAATAGATGGCAAAAACGGGCAACACAGTCTCATCTCCAGAATATGTTTCTTGCCTCTTGGGAAGCCCTAGCCCGGGCGACAACTTGACAACCCCGCGAAGGAGAGCCCCAGAAGCAGGCAAGGCACCTAGCGCATGATCCAAAATTGGGAGCTCAGCAAGGTCTGCCAGCCCCATCGATCTTATGATGAAGCATGATGCAAGGCCAAAAACGGCCTATGTTGATGGTGGGGGTGGGCATTGGAGGGCTCACAAATTTGCATGGAAACTCAGCAAACATTGCATTTACATAACGCATTTGGGCGCAATAATGAGTATGAATGACTACTCATCTACCTAATCTGAACGATCTGACATGTGCACTAAACTTCCTTGGATTGCTTAAGGCAAAAAGGTGTTGTACTTCTGGAGTACTTGCAGGTGAATCTTACTTCATGTGTCAAGGCACTGATCATCAAATGAAGAAACATCTCCCAATGTGTTTGATTGTACAAAGGAGCTGTGCTTGTGTTAGCAAGGATTGCAGTAGTACAAAGTTCAGCCCCTGCACCTGTTTCAACGAAGCCTTACCAGCACTGTTTAACGAAGCCTTACCAGCACAGAACTGCTTGCAGAGCCATTTTTCCAAGTGCCACCTGCGTGTTTTGCTGAAGAGGCCTATGATGAGAATCCATGGTGCTGCCTCTCTTAAACGTTGTTGCGTGATTGCTGCAGAAAGAAAGTTGCAGCCCATGTTAACGACATCACGCCTCATTCAGTCACGCTCATTGGTTGGTGACTGCTGGGCAACGACTGTGACTAAACTTACCTCAGCCAAACTTGAACAATGCGTACCCAAACCACTCAGCACTAACCAATTGAAGGAGATGATTACTGTTGCGAGGGTGTCTCCTGCTCGTGACATAAGCCATCCAAGGCGAGAGAGCAGGTTGGCCAACCATGCAGGGGAGTGGGAATGCCTTTTGTGCCAGAAGTGGCTACCAGCTGAAAGTTTCTACTTTGAGACATCCAATCAGAAACCAAGCAGCAGATGCATAGACTGCAGCAGAGAGCAAGATGCAAAATATTTGCGGACTTTGCGCGGATGCATCTCTGGCATGCTGGGCAATGCCAAGAGCAAGGCCAATGCGCGTGGGCTAGAATTTTCCTTGACACGTGAACATGTTTGCGATATGTTAGCATATCAAGAGGCGCGATGTGCTTACTCAGGGGTGCCAATGGAGTTGGTACTTCCAAACAGTCATTGGCGAGTCTCTCTGGAGCGGGTTGACAACAGCATAGGATACACCCGCGAAAACTGCATACTGATAGCTGCCGAATTCAACAGCTCGGATCATAGTCGCCACCCAGGCGTTGATACAGACGCAGTCAAAGGAACTGCACAATGGTCAGCAGAAAAGGTTCGGCAAGTTCATGCTTTGCGCTTTACCAATCTGGATTTGGCCTCGCTTCACAAAGATATCGAAGGAGCGCAGCTCCCACCCCCAAGGACGCCTAGGTCCAGAGGCAATGCAGCAAAGATGTCAATGCAACCAGAGCCAGGCTTTGCACATTGCAACAAATGCTTGGAGCAGAAACCACATGCTGCTTTCTATAGGGACACTTTGACTTTGAGTGGACGCCGATCATGCTGCAAACAATGTGACAAAGTAATGGATCGTGCTTATCGCTCAACATTGCGCGGCCACCTGAAGACGATTCTGTCTAGAGCGCAGAGGCGTTCCAAGCTGCGAGGGCAAGAATGCAGCGTAAGTTTTTCAACCTTGCTGTGCATGTTAGAACGCCAGCAAGGTAGATGCTTCTATTCTGGTGTTCCTTTGCAATACAAAGAGCTCCATACAAATTGGCGCCTTTCGCTTGAGCGTTTGAACAACGAAGTGGGATATACAGAGGACAATTGCGTGCTCATTGCAGTAGAGTTCAACACCCCAGACTACAGCCGCAATTCTGCGGTCACAGAGGTGTTTGGAACAGCTCAGTGGTCGCGTGCCAAGGTTCAGCATGTATGGGGCGCTTTGGATGAGGAGAAGAATCTATGCGAGGCTTCCAGGTGATTCCTGCCACTCTGGGGCACTTCGGGTTTGATCTACGCATTTATCTCAATTGTTGTGATGAGTTTTGACCAGTTTGCCTGTGCTACGCAGTCCTCGAAAGTTATATTTGATGCATTATTGATGCACACTGAGTTCTTTGTTCAGTCTACCTGGTCTACATCATGCAAGCTTCAGCTTGCAGAAGAGGCATTGCAATGATTGGTTTGCACCCCAGACGAGCCACATATATACGAGTTGATGTGCTGCCTTAAGACGAAAAGGCAGGTGCTGAAGTAGAGAAGTGCTTGACGTTGTGGAACGTTCACTTAGCAAACGATGGGTTTATGATAGCTTGTGCAATGATGCTTGCAACTGCGCCTAGAAAAGATAATTTGAGGATTGTAGAAGCACAGTACAGTGTAGACCTTTCTGCACTTCAACTCTCAAGGACTTGCAGCCAATGAGTAAAGGCTGAGTATGGGGATACATCGTCCAATGCGTGTGTTTGCAGGAGGGGTTGCTGCTTTGCATGAGGGCCTTGCAATGCTCCAGGAAACTTGCTGAAGCCAGATTTGGGCCATCCGCATCAACCACATGTTATTCAGAAAGTATCTCACATAATATGCAAGAGAACAGTATAGCTCCGCCATTTTGTAGAGGCGTCGGATGGCGTCGGTAACTTTCATTGACCCCTCCGCACGCAGGGCGATTTGCTTCCTATTTGTACCAAATTTGCAGGTGGTTCGCAGTATCGCAAAAAGCAAACAAGTCATGATTTGAGGGTTGTGCTGGGCACAGCTCTGGACCATCCTTTCCGCGCCTGTCAGACAAAAGCGAAGGTGTCCCAGAGAAAATAAGGCGTTGTGATACCGCTCATTACGATACCAGAGTAGTAGCTAGATAGAATAGGACTTTGTTTAAGAAATTTCAAGAATATGTTTAAATATATGTGTTTCTCGTTTATGTATTCATGCCTGCTCTAGCTACTCCAGGATGAGCATACATCTATGTGACCTATGTGCTACGCTTTTTGCTGGATGCCGCAAAAAAGGAGTACACTTTGCCAATCCCAATGTCAGGCGCGAGAAGGAAATCTGCGTGGAAGCTTATCCGGTCCGAAACAGTATCATTCAACAAGACTGCATTTGGCCAACATGTCTTTGCCAAAAGAGATGACTGCAGGAATTCTTCATGTTTCCTTCCCTCTGAGTCTTAGAAGGGGGGTCAATAGTTTTCCACATTCATGGGCAGAGGGGACCAGACAAGCTCAAGTCAATGTCCTATTTGAGCATGTGTGTGTGCATCTTGAAGGGAATCTTCTTTAAATGTGAAAGCGTGACAACCAAGCAGAAACAGGACCAATTCTTTGGAGTGACAACACCGATCATATGCTGTCAAAAGTGATGACGACCAATCTTGCACTTACACCAAGCAGTCATTACAAAAACATGAGCAGACCTAGTTGTGACATCTTGTGAGTTTGAGACGTGAGAATTTGTTGCTTTAGTCCTCCTCATGTTGTTGTAATCCACTGTGACTCACTACTGTGATACTACTGTGACCTTTTGGCATAATAAGAGTTCCTTCTACAGCCTGGGACTCGGAAAACAGACTTCAGCCACCTGTGGTTTGACCAAATGCGCCCCTCTAGAGTTCGGTCACACACACACATGAATACTGATTTCTTGGGTTTCTGATGTTTCGGGTGGCCATGTTTTGATCGCAAGCCATGGACGATGTGGACTATAACTGGTCAGAAACTGATCCAAATCTATGGATCCAAAAAGACCAAATATACCAAAGCAATGTGGGGTCCTCAAGCAATGGATGTCCATCTACGTTCTACATACTTGTTCCTCTATTTGTCCAGGGATGGAGTTCCTTAACTTCTGATTCAGACATACAGCCATACACGTTTGATGAGCTATCAGAGCAAGGAAACAGATTTGGCTGGATGGCCTGCAAGACCGCAGCAAAGGGGCTACTGTACTGTGTGTCTTCATCCAGTTTGTTCTCGTGCTAACCTTTCTGCAGCCTTTTGGGCTTGGCTTATCTCTTTTGATCTCTCTTGAGCATCTGCCAGCGGTGCAGATCAGTGACTCTGGCCTTTCATGAAGGCAGGGTGATCCTCTCCAACCGTCAGGTCATTGTGCTACCTACAGGTCTGGCTCCCCACACCACCAAACCAGAACCTTCTACACCACTAATCGGCAACAGAATTGTTTACGAATAAGATCGAATAAGTCTGCCTTTGCAGCTTTCAGGTGGGAGTCGCCAGCCAAGCACTGAAGCTCACATTCTCCAAGCTTCTCGATGCTTCGACATGGTTGTGACCCTCCCCTTCAGCATTGAAGTACCCCTGCCCAAAAAAAGAGAAGTGGGGGTTGACAGAAATATGCTACTTTGATCTACTTTGTATATCACCCCAGCAGTTTTCGTTGATTTTCGTTGTAAGGAACCAAGTGTTGTGTGGTTTTGGTGCGAAACGCTGACAAAGCCGGCCCTGATGGAGGCTCATGGTGTCGGAAGGGCATTGGCCCAACCACTGAGAGCGGCAACGCGAAGGCATTTTGCTGCGCGCTCCTGGGTGGAGCCTTAGCAAGACGAAGAGAACCCGCAGTCCGTAGCCAGTCAGTGGTGAACCATCTCTAGGTATATAATGGTATATTCAGTATTTTCTTTAACTTTGGGGGTGGAATTGGCAGAATTGGTCTCCAACAGTCCTCTTTGAAGGTGTGAACCACTCGTTTCCAGCCATGTGAAAGAGATGCCCATCCTTCCATTTCGCTGTGGATCCTAGGATCCTAGGATCGGTTGCATCCCCGTCGCAATCCAGGCGATGTTGGGCCAGGCGTTGTTTTCGCCATCCCCAGGCGCAGCACCCCATGCCTTCCGGCTCTTCACCGGACCACCTCGTGGCTCGAGCCACGCGGGTCGGAGGATCCATGTCCACCGGCTCGAGTCGGTGCGTTCGCCGCTTCGATCGTCGGGGCCTTCGGTCGGTTGGCAAGGAATACGACGCCAAGTGCGACTTCCCGATCGAAAACCTGCCGTTTGGTGCTCCTCGTCTGCCTCAGAGGAGTTTTTTCGAGCTTCGGATTTCGCTCCGACAAATCGTCAAGCAAGGAACCTCGTCAACATGAACAGATATGAGACAGTGAGCTGTTGTGTTGTCCATTTATCGGGGTCCTAGTTTGTTCGATGACCACAACTTGTGCTTTCAAACACTTGATGTTGATTCTTCCAAATTTCGACGCGGAAAAGTACAGAATCTCTTGATATCTTGATCAGAAGCCTCGTTTAACAACTTAGCCGTCACTATTTGTTGATGCCCAGATCTCTTCCGACTCAGTTCTGGCTTACGGCGCTTGAGAAAGGGTCCGGTCTCCATATCCTTTCTCAGGCGGCCTATGGAGCACAGCACCTACTTTGCGACTGTAGTAGCTGCTAAAACATCTAAAAAAGCAGGCATTTGATCAATGGGACTGATCATAACATCACTGATCAAGCATCAATCATGTCAGTGTCTTGACCAGTTCTATTTGCCCCACGTTTGCTTCATAGCTACTTCAGCCACTTGATGGTGCTCCTAATGACATACAAGCTTGCTGTTGAAGGCTTCGCTTGCTTTGTCTCAGATGGCATTCATGGACGACACGGTTGAATTGTGGTCGAAGTTGAGTACATTTTACCCGATAAGGTCGGCTGTTGTACAATGCTCTCTATTCCAAGCAGGAAAGCGTCCACGGTGACCTTACCATGTTGGAAAAACGCATGGGTGTTGGAGAAGATGCCACAACGATGTTCTGACTAGATTGCTCCAAAGCAGGATTTTGTGAGAGATCCTTTTCTCTAATTTGGTGCGTCGCTGTGTCCCTGTTTTTTCCAGCAAGAAGAGACCCAGTGCTTCTGCCCAATCCACTTTTCAGAAGTGTGGATGTGCCTTCCGTCTCGACGGAGCTGTGCTCGAGAGTAGAGCTGGCATCCAAGTCCGATCGTTAGGAGTTCCACAACCGATGTTCAGAGCGAAAAGACTGCTGTGGAAGAGCCCCAGAACGGCGCACTTGTTCGGCGTGAAGGAGTGAAACCACGACGAGCCCTGCTTGCGGCGCCGCCCTTCAGCGGGCACGTTTGGTTGTCGCGGGTGAAACGGTGAAAGCTAGTGCGTTTCCCACATGAACTGAAAGGAAGGCGCTGTTTGGCTGGCTTCTCGCACCATGCGCAGACAGTTTTTTCATTATAGTGTTCATCTACCTAGGTTGAGCAGCGTTTTATAGCCTATCCCACTCTATCCCGTGTGGTGCGACAAGTTTGGCTCCCAGTTCAGGTCTCTCAACCTCTCTTGCTATGCTTTTGGACGGGAGGAGCAGGAGACGGACCGATCGTCAGAGCGATTGGTTCACCGGACCGGTGGACCTGCAGAGCGTTTTTTTAAACAGCAAGCAAGACCTGTGAGTGACATGGGTTTTGGTCCATTTAACCACGTTAACCATGGGGTTTTGGTCTATAGTTTCCTTCTTCCAGGGTGGCTTTGCGATGATGCTAGAATTTGGTTGCTCAACTGTCTATGACAGGCAAATTCTTTGACCCGGCATGGACCTTGTTTCAGGCCTTGCCAGTTTCTAGACCCGCAGAGCCACTGACTCAATTGGTTTGCCTTTGTTTTGACGAGCGGCAAATGGCGGCAAACTCCCTCACTTTGTCCCACCCAAAGCAAAAGCAAGAACCCAAGACTTTTGTCTATGTAGATGTCTTATGTGTTTACATGTTTGTTCATATGCTTGGTCATATCACTTTTCCCATCCTTTTCCCAATGGTTCACCGGGCGCACTGCTGCGTGTGACAGGTTTTCTCTTGTGCAAAGAGGGGGCCCCGCTGCGCCACGGCCATTGGGCCTTATGCAGTGGATTTAGCCGTGCTTAGTGCTGCTCGGCGAGAGATGGACTATGAGAGTCTGAAGCAGATTGAAGCAGCAAGTAGAGGTATGATTCTGGGAAACTGACCGGTGACTGTGGGTGCCTCATGGTGCCTCATAGTGCGAGGCTTCTCCATCAGCAGATCGGGGCTCAAGATGTCCATCAACATGTGCATGCACATGATGCACATCAGAACCGAAAGGCTGGCCTAAGCCTAGGCCTAAGCCAACCCTTGCTATCAGCACGCTACCAGGTAGATCATGGCAGGGTTGGTGGGCATGAATCGAATCACGGATCGCTCCGGTGATCACGTCGATCCAACCTCAGCTGAGCTCCGTGAGTCATTTCGGACCTCGCTTTTCGTCTTCACGATCCGCCGAAGAACAGGTCACGGTGACGGTCACCAGCCGAAGTTATACGCTTGAGTAAGAGGTCCCGGCCATTTGGATGGTAAAACCATGTAAAACATCAGTCTTCATTTAGTTGTCTAAAAATCAAGAGAGTGGCAATAGGACCTGTGGACAGCCAAGATGTCAGGCCCATCTTTATCCCACAAAATGACTTACCTTCTCTCCATCAGTCTGATTGGCTTGGGAGTTCATAGAAGCTGCAATGACTCCGAATCCAGCAGGCCACTGCAAGTGAACAGTTCGATCGGGCTCCTTTCATGTCCCACAAATTCGAAGGATTGTTCCCATGCTGAACTCCCAGATGCCAGAAGATATGTTCTTGGACGTCCTGGACTTCCTCCATGTGCACTGCCTCGCGCCTGAGGAACATGGTGCTTTCAAGGACCTGGGTTTCGATGCCACAAAGACCTTTGGGCAGCCGACGCTCAACGCGCCCCTCGGCGTGTCGGTGTGCCTCCTGAGGACTTTTCTCAATGCAAAAATATCTATAGGTCTTAAAGGCTGTCACACACACACGTTCTGCAAGACACATGAGTTTCAAAGGTTTATGCAGCATCCAAAAATGCGGGGAACCACAACACCAACGCATTTCATACCCTCTGACTCACTAACATGGAAGTGGGAAACCACCTATGTGTAGAGGAAAATGGTCTTCCCAGTGGCCATTGTCCATTTCCATATTAGTGAGTCGGAGTGTATACTTTCTCAATCCTCTTCAAGCTTCTACTCGAATTTGCTGCCTCGAAAACGCCCAGGTTCATGGCCTTGCCGCGAAGTGCCTGGCGTGCCACCCGCGCACGACGCTCCGATGCTTGTGGGCGGGCCTAGGCCCCACGGATGTGGCATCCATGGGACTGCCATAAATGCCTACATTGACCCCCCAAAACCACCCCAATGTAGGCATACATGGAGTATCCGGGAAAGGTAGACTGGTCTATTCCCGAACCTTACAGGGGGTTGTTGCCTGGGAGATCTCCCGATTTTAATACACACTCATGTGTTCTCCTGAGTTGGCGGAGAACGCAGCACTACGAGTGCTTGAGTAGGAGAGGACAACAGTATCCGGGACAAGGTTGGCAGGGACAAAGGTTGGGGGTTGGCAGAAGACCAAAAGTTGCACAAGTTGATGTGTCAGACTTTACTGCTTGCACCTTTTGTATCTCCCAACAAACACAGTTGTTTCTACAAATGGCCCACCAAAGGGTGGGTGATGGTGGCCTAGTTCTTGAGTGAAAGAACTGAAGAACCGTCAGATGTGTTCCTTGGCAACATGTTCACGCCTCTTCATCGTTTGAAGTGGTGGTGAACATCTATAAAATCTATATAGGGCTTGGCCAAAAATAGGCTTCTGAGCTAAGAGTTTGGTTTGGGGGGGCATACAGCATACAGCCCATGTAAAACCTTTGTCCTCACGAAGTAGACCTTGTTGGAGACTCATCTTTGGGGTCCAAGCCTTTCCGATTGTCACACAAGTCGAAATCACCAGACCCCTCTTGACCATGCCATGCCATACCTCACCATGAACATCCCTTCACCAAGTTCATGGCTTCACCATGGACGAAAAAATCCCTTTGGCCATTGGCCACTTGGGAAGTTCCCAACGACCAGCTCCCTCCCTCATAAGGCCTCATGTATATATAATAGTTATTCTATTTGTACATCTATAAATATAATATATATTGTTAGAATGTATACTATGATACAAATATGGATATAGATGACATAATATGTCATGTTTCATGTGTGTATATACAAATATATATATATATATATATCTATCCTAAGTCATTTTCCCCGGCCGAGGCCTCGCCGAGCTCTTCGCCGCGGACGGGGACGACGCCCTCCGCGGCCGCGCCACGCTGCGGGACGCGGCGCTGAGGCCGTTGGAGGCGACGGGCCGACGGAGGGGGAGTAAAGAAAGCGAAGCGCGAGGCCGTTGAACGGTGGAAGGTTGGAAAGTTGTGGTTGGACTACGGAAGACATCCTTGGGCAATACGGTTGACGCCAGTTGGGTGCAAGGATGTTGATCCTGCTTGCTGATGGATCCAATCTTCTGCCCATTTTAAGACACCTGACCTAGGATAGTGCGCCCACTGGACCACTGAACCAAAATGACTTCAAAAATGTCCCAGCAACTGCATCCAAGCTGTGATCCTGAAACCTAACTTCTTGGAAGATCAACATGGCAGGCCATCGGGTTCCCAGGTGGGTCTCTTCCTGGGTGGTTTTCTTTCTTGGTAGATGCTCGACCCAGATGCGGTCGTTGCTCAGTGAAGACATATGCGATGCGATGCTCTAGGAGGTGAAGATGCACCTACCTGCCAAGATCGGCGACTACACCGCTTCTTGACCCGATACCATCGGTGGGGGGTGTCTTTGGGCCACAGTGCTCCTTGGCGTTGTTGGGATTACATTCACCAGAACGATCACTATCCATGGATACGTGGATGGCATGGCCCCGATTTCGGACCTTTTTCCGACAAACTGGTGGCGCCATCCATTCCATGATGCTTCCAGGGAGTGTAGTAGTACTTTTTGTTAGTTCGCGCTTGGGAACATTGTTCTGAGATTGATTGGTCCTTTCCTTCGAGCGAAAATGGTTTTCAGTTTGCAGTGTTTCCCGTTGCTTCTGATTCAGCAAGTATGTAGACTCAATGTAGACCGTCAGACCTGTGGAATGCGCGGGAATGTGGGATCTTGTAAATGAGTTGTAGACAGTTGTTTTAACGGCCTCTCTGCTTGACATATGTTTGTTTGCATCTGTTTGGCATATCCTATTCCCTGTAACAGTGGATGATGATGGTTATATACTACATGATCAAGGAATCTAGGAAGTTACTAGATGAACGTTCCAAGATACAAACAGTTGCAGCAGAGAGGGCACCCGGAACCCAGCTCCCCCAAATTGCCTAATGAAGAGGATCCTAGAGTTTCTTGTTCCAGTTAACCAGGTTGGGTTCATGGCTAAGACTGTATCCAAGTCAAAATGTAACATATGCAAACGATTACTGGCTGGGATTTTGTCAGCAGGTTTGAACATGGGCCTGGGCCAAGGACTTCTATTCCTCGAGAGAACATGCCACAAATGTGGGCAGCTTGGATGCAAGATGCACGATCATGGTAGTGACAAGTAGTGTTTGTTTGTTTGAATTTGTCGAGATCTCCACTTTTCAAAGCAGATCAGGTCTGACTGGAGCATGACCAATGTACCTGCAAAGGCACTCTACGGCATTCCTCCAGGTTAATGCATATGTTTTTGAAAACTAAAATGGTAAATATATATATATATAGTTTAAAGTAAAAATAATGTGTCCTTCCGTCCTTCCGTCCATGTGCAAACTATGATAATTGAGGGTTGCACCCTGTTGCACCAATATCACAGGCAGCAGGCAAAGCCCATCGCCCATGCTTCGAAACCCCTAGGTAAGGACACTGGCCCAGCATTCTTCCGAAATGCTAAAGCGCATTGATATGTGGTCAAACTGTTTGTGTGTACTACTGTTTTTTTTTAAGTTACGCCATATAAGAGAGAAAGAGAGATGTAGCTTTTTAGAACATCTTTCAAGTTAAATGTTCATGACACCGGAAGTTCTATTTCTCAGGTGGCATCAGGAAACGATGCAACTTCCTCCTATCCTCCTCCCGATGCAGAAAACCCTCCGCTCAGCCCTCAATAGGTTTTGCCACCTTCCACGAGGCCCCTTCTGGCAGGGAAGTTCCATTCGTGGTCGATGTTTCCCCTTCCCAGGTGTCTTTATAGGTCACCTTATGGAAAACATATATCTCCCATGGCGTATATGTTGGCAGCCAAGGTATCATGTTCCGAGGAAAGGCTACGTGGCTGCGCTTGGACACACTTGTGATGGTGACACTGTATAGACGTTTGTCAGGGAGTTATGCCAAAAAGATGCTTTACCTGGGAGTTAGCCAAGTCGAGGAGTCTGCCACGTCCGTGCTCTCCTTTTTGTCCGTGCTCTTTGAGTTTTTCGAGTTTGTTGAGTTTGGCCGAGTCCGTTTCCACCAACAGCTATCCTCAAATGGCAGTGTCTCCGAAACATGGGGCTTTCTTGAGTTTTCATTCGTGTCCCCAAGAGGTGTCCCAACTCTTTATTGTTCCCTTCGGTTTCTCCGAGGACAATGCCTTGCAGCCGAACTGGCTCCACCTCCCCGTGGGCTACCACGGCCGTGCCAGCAGCGTGGTCTTGAGCGGTACGCCGCTGGCGCGGCCCCGTGGACAACTGCAGAAGAGCCGAGAGGATCCCTGGCAAGGCCGGGCGAAGTGAAGCTCCGACCGAGGGCGTGCGACGCCCGAAAAGTACCGCGACAAGAAGGGGTGGAGAGTGGAGATGCCCTGGTTTGGCGGAATTGGCGAATTGTTCATGTTTGCTTGTGGTTAAATATGGTATATCCGCTTTTGGTTTGCACCGTTCCTTATGCAAAAGCAAGCATGTGACATGACCAAAAGTCCCAAACCCAAGCGACTCCTGGCAGGGTACACAATCAACTGCTTCCACATGCTTGGAATGTCTTGGGAAACTAATTACTCCCCTCGTTCTGCATGCACGCATAGGTCATAGATCATAGAGTCTTGCTGAAGATGGTCATAGATGGTCATAGAGTCTTGCGTTCTCAACTGAAGATTGACATAGGTCATAGATGATCGGCCCTGAATGTCACGCCTACATCATCACTCCGGTCCGTCGCTTCCGGAGTGATCCGGTGAAGAACTGGGGACTAAAGAAAATAGTGCTCAGCTTCTGGACATTTGGGTTTTGAAAACGTTTATGAACCGAACCGAATCACTTGGAGAAGTCGTGTTTTGTTGCTTCGAAGAAGAGGGAGAGCCGTCGAAAGACTTCCACTCAGACTTGTTGGGCATAGCTTTGGCGCGTGGACTTCCGAACGAAAAGCTGGTGAATACTATGCCAGTATCTAGTCTTCCAATGCCCATCACTGGGTCCTGACCAAGGCGTCATCTTCGCAAGATGTTCGGATGTTCGTCCGGGTTCAGTCTTCTCCCAAAAGAGGTCAAGCTTCGCTCCGCAGATGCTCCGTTGAACACGCATACACTGCGGCGTGCCACTGGCAGGTTCTGTTTATGGACCCTGCAAGCTCTTAGATTTCGAGCTGGACTGGTGGGCCGGGGTCATGTTGTGGGCAGGGGTCATGGTGCAGAGGCTGCCGCGGTTCGTCGAAAAGTGCCAGAAGAGAGATGGCAGCATGGCTTTCAGTCCCTCACAAGAAGAGACGTGCCCGGAAAAAACCACTTAAAAAGCACACCGACGACTGCACGAACGTGCGCGCCTGGGTGTTTTCCACACAGATCCCCCACCGGGGAACGGTGTGGACCTGTGTGTCGGTCCAGTGTCCGACCGCACGGACGGCACAGGAGATCGGCTTCTTCGTGGGTGGCCAGTTGCCACCGTTGGGGCGGCCACTGAGCATCCAGGAGGCGGAGGAGCACATCTTTGGCCGCTCAGAGCACATCTTCCTGCCAGGTGTGAGGGGCTTTGGAGATGAACATGGAGAAGGTAATTGTATGTAATTGTGGGACGTTCTTCTTGGCGAACTGTTGTTGTCTTTTTTAAATGAAGGGGTGTTTCCCAAAGAAGGGGAGGATGCCTTTCGTGGTGGAAAGAATAGAGTTTGTGAGGACCTTCTTTCGATTTGGAGAGATCTGGGGATTGGAAACAAGGAGATCAACTCGCAGATGCCTTTGTTGCCTGAGTTGTGCTTGAATCAGCAATGGTTGAATATGATGGAGCCCCAGGCCTTCAGGCTTTGCTCCTTTGGGTCGACGGACGGATATGTTTGGTACACATTATTCGAGCCACGACCAAAACCCCCAAATGGATTGTTTCGTGGGGATTACAACCATTCAGTATCATTAAGGGATTTCCTACCAGGTTTTTGGCTCTGGCTCATCTGGGCCTATGTTCTGGGTGTTCACTTGCGTATTCACCAGGTTTTTCAAGATGTTGACAAAACATTCAACCAAAGCCACAATGGACCTCCTATAGTACAGCGCTTTTTGCGAAGCCACCAGGATCAGCTCTTTGCAGGACACTCATTGCAGACATCCAATCCACAGCTTAGACTCATGTTGGTCGTGCAGTAAACAAAGTCAGTACTTCACGTCCTGAGGCGCTTCACGTGTTGATGTCTTTTGGTCGAATCATCAAGTCCAGAATTGATGCGACGAGACAGCCTGTTGCCTGTTCTATTTGGTCCCCTCAACTTATTTTGTGTACAGCTATACAAGATTATAAACCGCCCTTAAGGCCTTAAGCTTGCGCATTTCAACAACGAGGCTGCCTGCTGGCTCTTGAAGTTGCTGAAAGATAAAAAGGGTCTCGGAAAGGTGGAAGGTACACGGAGGTATGACATATTTTCACAAGTCAAGGGGCATGGTTTTCACCAACCATCCAGTTCTTTCCGCTCCTTCTTGCTACCTCTGAGAGCCCAAGGCTACGTGCTGATGAATGACTGGTCTGCACGAGATATCCAGGCACGCCCGTGTTGCACCAACCGCCTGGTATCGCCTGACAGGGAAAGCCTTTTGAAGCACCAGATCCACCAGACTGGTTCACTGTGTTGTGTTTGTTTGTGTTCTGTTCTTGTACACGTTGGTGACACACGCTGAAGCGCCTATTTGCACTATATGATCAAGATGAAACGGTTCTTCTCAGAGTACCTATCAGAAATCCCATAAAATCCCCATGTAGCATGAAGGTTCCACCACACTTTCCGACTCTTTGCACTTCAGGTTCTTCACCCCAAAAAAGCCATTCCCCAAACAGCAATCCCCGGACGCATGCCCCCTGCAGCAGGAACCCTGGCTTCAGACACCCAGAACCGATCACCCCGCAGACCTTGTATGACGAGCGTCAGGCCTGGGAGTATGTGCCCCTGGGCCCCTTCGGCGCCAAGAACTTCGGCACCACCATCTCCCCATGGATCGCCCCTCGGAGAACACCCGGTCGGAGGAAGGACGAAGCGACGGCGGTTCCGCCGGTTCCGCCGTTGAGTGACTTCTGTAGATGCTAGGATTTCCAAAGTGGACCAGGGTGAGAATTGTCTCAAGGAATATTGTCGATCTACATCTTGGGAACATTGGTCATAGGGATATGATTTGCCGCAAGAGAATGTCACTCACCTGGTTGAACTGCTTGCAGCCCTGAGCGCGATACAATTTGATTGCACCGTTTAACTACAGACCTACCAGCCAGCCGAGCCTCTCATTTTCTCAGCATAGGACACACTAATTTGTAGTGTCCCTGGCTGAAGGTCCTACCGTCCTACCACTTCACATCCATTTGTGCCTCTCCGTGCCCTTCTTATCCCTCCCTCTTTGGCACTTCACGGGACCGCGCACTGAAGCTGGACTGACCCCAAGAAGCTGCGCCTTCCAACGCCGAAGCCGCCGAACCCGCTCCGTCCACCTCCCAGGTCAGCCCCGACGCGCTGGAGCCCTTTGTGTGTTCCACATCGGCGGAGTCTTGAAGAAACCAGTGGAACGAGGCCTTAAGCATCGCAGCGCTGCGCTTCGGGTAACAACTAATAATAAGTGTAAGTGCTTCCACCAGGTTGGGACAGTCACTGGTTTCCCGGTTGAAATAGACCCTGAGCTGAATGAGAAAGTAACTTTGGAGTATTGTGAAACCCTAGGCTACCCTAGGTACATCTAGGTGCCAAGGACATCTTATTATGACTATGACTCTACAGTAGTACCTGAGATCCACAGAATGTGGCCATCCATGAGGTTTGGTATAGATAGGTACAGTATAAGTGTCAGTCAGTCCCGAGCAGTTCATGTGGTTCATGTTCAGAATCTTCTTGCTTCGGTTCATTTTTCATCTGCCCGGTCAAAACATGTCAAAACAACCGGTCGAAGCTTTGCCGGCTTTACCTGTCAAGAGGTTTCACACTTTTTTAAGTGATATGCTCTGATGCGTCAAAATGCGTGGACCATGCTTTTTGGGAGTCCTTTGTTGAAGAAACCCACTGCTGCTTTTCTCGTTGACCTCTGGAGAGTCTGCTCTTTATTTCGGACCAGTGGTCTTTGGTGCGAAAAAGAAGCCCGGTGTTCTAATGCTTTGAGCCCAGGACCAGTTCGATTTCCACCTCAGAGCTGGAATCGGCCATCCTCGACCCATGTCAAACCCCAGGTCCAGGTACCTCTGTCCTTCGGATGGTCGAACGGAGGTGAGTAGCGTGGTTCCAGAGAATGGCCAAAAGGACGTTCGATTCGGAGGGTCCTGGACCCTCAGGGAACCCAAAGGAAATACTATTCGTACTGGGTTCGGGTCCGGGGTCGCCTTTGAACAGGCTGAGCAGAAGCAGGAAAGGTTTTGTTTACGTCTTCTGATCACAGAGAGGAACACCATTCAGCAGCCCTGGGTGCCTGGGTCGTGCCTGTCAGGGTCCGCGTGGCTCGGGTTGTCGCCTGCAGCCTCCTCCAAGCTCCAAGGAGAAGCAAACCGATCCTGAGCCACTGCCCTACTTGAAAGAAGAGCCGCTGGGCACTGGTTTGACTGACGGTTGACTGGTTCACTTGACTGATGGCCAGGTGGCCACAAAAAACTGACTCACAATCTGGCCAGCATGTAGCTCCATCAGTGCACCGGCTAGAATAACTGCTAGGCAGGGAGACAGTTTTGGCACCAAGTGTTGAATTTGAGACGTCTCGCCTAAGTTCTTCATCAGAGCTCCAGGCTTCTCCTAACCACTATGCCAGACACACTGGCAGAGTGCAGGTCTGGTGGAGCTCATCGTGTTTTCAAGAATTTTCCACATTTGGTTCGGAGTCCGTTCCTAAGTTGACGGTTCGATATGTGCGGTTCTTTGGGCACCCGGCAAGATCCTGCCTCAACCAAAAAATGCCTTATTGCATGGGCATATAAAGACATCGGTGACCAGTGACCACAGATTCTGTTGGGGTATGGTGGCGTTTGTATTTTAATGGGGGGACCTCCCTGGCCCAATGTGTTTTTGATGTTGCCAGAGGTCGAACTGGGTGTCTCCCTATTCGAATACACACCCTTTTTCTCAGACACCTCTTGTTGGATGTGACACTGAAATCGCGGATTTGATCCGATGTCTCAGCCTTTCAAAGTCTGCAGATTACCCATGTTACCCCATTTCAGTTTTTGAGCCAGACCTTCTTCCCTCCATGGTGTTTCTACTCGCCCCTCCCCCTTGGCGGTGCACACGATCTTCTGCACTCCGACCGACTTGCAGTACTGGCCGACTGGTGAACACGCTCCCCGACCGCCTCCGGCTCGATGGATTCAAGGGGTGGAGCACTGGCGCCCTCACACAGAAACTGGAAGTCTTATCGTAAGATCTGGAAGCACATACCGACCCAGTGACCCGTAGAGTGGCCTAAACAGACATGGGTGATCTGACATCAGAATCCTGAGCCCAAGGAACATCAATGGTCACACATGTACCTTGAGGACCTCAGAGATGGAAAGCTATATCTCAAAGAAGATGTCATCCAAGCTGAAGAGCCTGAGGGCGCCCAGGATGACATACATCTTAGATGAGTTGAGGGCGCCCATACGTCATGAAGATAACATCTAAGTGAAGATGTCATCTCTTCATACTTCACACATCTTCACTTCATACTTTCTTCGCCTTCGGGCGGCTTCTCCTCGCTCCGTCCTGCTTCTCCTCGCGCCAGAGCGGGTGAAGCGGAACAGCGGCACAACGTGCGCCTGACGGTGCTTGGCCGCCGGCGGAACTCAAGGGCGCTCGAGGGCGCGTCGCCATGGAGGATCTGAGGGTGCGGCAGGCGGAATCCATCAAACGCCTGAACTCCACGAAGAGCTTGAAGGATCTCACGCCGGCGACTTGGATGTCGAAGCGTGAAGACGCCGAAGACTGGGGACGGAATCGGGGTGGTTTGAACTAAAGATCATCCAGTTCTCAAATGGCTTTGAGTCGAGTCGTACGACCATGTCATACACCAAGCTCCATACGCCGCGCTGCCTCTGAAAAACGGTGAAAGAGCATGTCGAACGAATCCCCAGTGACTGACCTGGAGCATCAGCTCTTGTTGGGACCTCTTGGTGGATGCCTCTCGATAGGTACATGAGAGGTGGGGGACCAACAAGGATCACACGCACGAAACAAGACATGGTCATGAATCAACCAGTTGAAGGCCTCAGAGTGCCATGGCAGCAGTTGAATCAACCATGCTTCACCAACTCTCAGAACTCAAAGCTTCTTTGGAGCAAACAGGATTCCTGCAGACAGCGCGGACCACAGACAGCCGACCCTCCCTTGTACCGGTAGTGTTTTTTTTGTGGCACTGTCCGGTCGACTTGGGGGCCTACAGCGGTTGCTGTGTGAAGCAATTCTGAACCAGACACCGACTGCTATGTTGTGAAGCAGCTGGTCACAGTTTCAGGAAGATCTTCCATCATCGAAAGTTCCTAGAAGTTGTTTCGAGGAGGGTTCACAGGCGGTTGTTTTCACATAAAAATGGATGCTCCAAAGATTCCAAAGGTCAAGAAGCCATGATTCATGATTGTTCAGGGCAACTTTTGCTGCCACGGCGTTCCCCACATCCGACATTGTCAGCGGATGCTCCAAAAAGACCAAGACTGCTGTGACGCACAGGTGCTTGATAGCTGTTGGTGTTATTTTCCGCAAAACAACAGTGACCTGCAGGTGTTTGTTTTCTCTTCTTGTCTATGTGACCACGCGACGCTTGAACAGCCTCCGAACGGTTCTGTCTCTGTCTGCACCACGGCCAGGGACCGGGCTTGACGCGCTCAGGTGGAGTCCCAACGCATCGATCTCACCACGAGTTCCTCCACGGGGGGCGTCGAATGGAGCTTCGGGCCTCATCCGCCCACGGTGTGCCACAAGGTTCCGCCGGAACGGCCGGGACCGGGCGCCTACTACCGAGCCGATTTGGATGCTTGGTTGTAAGGTCTTAGAAGGGGTGGCATGCTTAAGAGGTCTTGAAAGCTAGGGGTCACGAGGCATGCTTGAAGTGGAGAATGCCCTGGAGTGGTCTTGAGTATGGACCAGCACCCAGGGTGTGTGTGTGTGTGTCTACATTCAGTCGCTGGATGTGTAAAGACAATGTACGTTACACTTGCTCATATCAGAGACGTATCTTCTCGTAGTCGTAGTCGTAGTCGTAGTCGTAGTCGTAGTCGTAGTCGTAGTCGTAGTCGTAGTCGTAGTCGTAGTAGTAGTAGTAGTAGTAGTAGTAGTAGTAGTAGTAGTAGTAGTAGTA